ACTTCATAATCCAGTCAATGGCCAATAAGAAGAGAAAGGATGAGAGGAGACACCCTTGTCTTACTCCTGTCTTCACATTGAATGCATCTGTTAGCTGCCCTCCATGAATTACCCTGCATGACAATCCCTCGTATGAATTCCTTACAAGATTGGTAATTTCGTGTGGTATCCCATAATGTTTCATAAGCTTCCACAGTGTTGGTCGGTTAACGCTATCAAACGCCTTTTCATAATCAATGAAATTAACATAAAGGGAAGAGTTCCATTCCAGTGACTGCTCCAGGATTATGCGCAGAGTGGCAATTTGATCAGCACATGATCTACCTGATCGAAATCCTGCTTGTTCGTCTCTCAGGTGTGGGTCAACAGCGTCCTTCATCCTGTTGAGAAGTATTCTGTTGAAAACCTTCCCAGGCGTTGACAGTAAAGTTATTTCTCTGTAGTTTGAACACTGACTTAAGTCCCCCTTCTTAGGTAGCTTAACTAGATATCCCTCTTTCCAGTCTTGATACCTAAAATGATTTACCGTAGTAGAACTTCATTTCCTCATCATGTGTCTCACATGCCAACAATTTAGCGATACACACTCTGTCACTTGTGTGTAATATTTGTACCTATATTCACGTTAATATCTGACCAATTTTATTATATGTGTTATTGGAAATCTGCCTGCTTTTTCATTGCATACTGGCATGGTTGGTTGCATGATTTACTTACGTTTTAGTATTATATATGTTATAGTCGGTGTAGTAATAAGAGGTAATTACGAGAGGATACCTCAAAGCATGCACGAAGACAGTACAGCTGGAGTAGCGCGTCGGTCGATGCGACGGCGTACTGTTTGAGTGCATACATTGAGGTATCCTCGTAATAAACTTATTATTATACATCTTTTCCTTCGAAATCCAAAAAGTCTAGAACAGAATCAGCGAACTTCTTTGTGTAGAGTCCGGTCAAACCCTGGTGGCAGTCATGGTTGTTTTTATTATTAGAGGACGCGTACGCGCGTAATCATTCCATACTTGGAATTTGCATTTCCTTATATGGTAGGATGAAAATACTCCGTAAATACCGCAAAATTACGGCAGACTGTAACTTATGGCGTTACGGTGACAGATGTATAATAATATAACGTACGTTTATTGTTGTTAAGTATTAACTGACGTAATCAATTAAAGGATACGCAAGGTATAGCAGGATTCCCTACATCACACATGCTGACGCGTGATGTACGTGATAAATACACTAAATACGTTCAAACGAAATATACCGACAATTACTTTAGCAACTAAACAACATGTAAATCACAATCTTCACATGAAAGCACTCATCCAACAATCGTCACATGTTGATTTCATAAAGATGATAAATTAAAGGATAATTTTATTTTTAGTAATCGGTATACAGTGAAATATGAATCATTGTGGTATTATTTACTTCTATCATAGCGTCATTCTTTGAGTTTATTGCTGTATCGTCATAGGTAATTTATTTTATTATCGTACATGTTATTGACAATTCCCCGTAGTTTCAATAATTATATTCAGCAATATTGACAATACCAATGACATGGATACGACTACGTGAAAGTATTGAGCGCTATTTTAAAGTGCCGTTATTATTGTTACTTTTTTTACTCATAGACATAAACAACAATCTGCATCTTTGAATATAAGCATACAATTTGGCACATTTCTATTACTCAGGCAGCTCAACATTTTGTTATATATTGATCACCCCCCCTAGTTGCAGATAACGCCAACTATGTTGAAAGCGTCGAATTTGTTACATGTTCAAGAAAATAAAATCACCATGCACCCGGGATCTCTTCCTTAGAAAATGGGGATTCAAATTATATAATTTTTAAGTTTGAAATTATATAATTGTTAGTATCATTGTTTGATACTGTCTATTGATAGATACATTGAATTATGATTTATCATGAATTAGAAACCCTGTTCTGTATCACACACCAGACTATTCGTTCGACAAAACAATGACATTCGCTAATACGCATGTGCACTATTTGTTTTGGTGAGTAACAGTTTCTGCACATGCGCATTAGTGGTTTTGATTTTGATAATCCGAATTTGGCCTTTAGTATGAAGCATCAAAAAATAACATTTAAAGAATACGTTCATATTACATATTTAACAAGGACCTTTACAATAATCCTAAACTTGTTATACATGCATGAGACACGATGCACATGTTAATCGCGACAAGAAATGGAAATACAAATTGTCAATTTTAAATTGTTTTGGTCAAAATAATAATACACATAAAATGAAGCATTTTTCATATTAAAATACAACAAATGAAATGTTGTATATATGTACAATGTTATGTGCTTGTCAAATAAAAGCATAAGTTGGACAGTCCCATTTGGAAACAAATACTTGGGTTATAACAATAATACTAAAAAAAGAAACTGCACATATTTAGAAGATATCTGGTATCTCCTCACATATTAGTATTCTAGTCACACACACAGATGTAAACAAAGCAGGTTACGTTATAAGTGTGTGGGTCGTCAGGTTAATTTACGGAAAGTGATTGCATTGGGGAATGGGTAACACCCAAGACAGTGAGTAGTACAGTGGGTTCGCTCGACACTTATACGCACCATTCAGTCACCAAGCCAGGTATTTATTGTAACTCCAATCGTCACCATATACTAGTACCCCGGTTCTCTTCTTCCCTATTACGTTAGAACTCCTCATTTTTATAATCGACAGTGTTAATTGTTCAACCAATAATTTTAATAATTTGCATGCGTTGTGATGACTGCACGTGAACTCCACCACTCAGGCCGTCACCCGTAGCATCGTCATGACAACATCAATGCAACTTGGTGACACACCTGTGGTGCCAAAACAGTGTTGAAATGGCAGAAATGGGCCATTTATGGCGATAAATGCATGTTAAATGTTTTTGATGAAATTATGTTGGTACTTTATGTACATACTACGTCAAATACCGTTTACTTAGTGACTGAAACATATCCATATATGTTTATATTTATACCATAGAAATTTATACATTTTCGAAATGCTTTTTTTTATAGACAACACACTACGAATTATTATTCGATCAAGAATTCAAGTTGCCGAAAATATTGTGCCTATAGTGATGAGAAAAAAGATTGTCTATGATTGAGATTAGTGATATTAGTTCATATTCTGTAACACAAATTGTTGTATTTCCTCACAGTTGTGGCAGAACCAAAACCAATACATGCACTCTCAAATCAAAATTGGAAATTATTCATTTGAGAATAGATTACCATTATGGTATTGTCAATTATGATATTGAATAACTAAATAAGAGAGTGCATCTTCTCTGTCAATCAATGTGCAACTATGGTCCTGTAATTTCTATAGCAAAATTGCCCAAAATGCGTATTTGCCAAATTTGTCTGGTTACTTAGACAACACAGTCCAACATGACTATGACCCAGCATGTGTTTTCATTCTATTTGTGTTTATAGTAATCCCTCTAGTCAAACTGTTTTTCCAGAAAATTCAAGTGTCACATGTGAAATTGCTAGTTTTTATGCATTTTTTAGCTCAACTGATCGTATGTCCGCTGAGCTATACTGACGATGTTGTTTCCAGCGTATGTCAGTCTGTCTGTCTGCCTGTTGACGTCGTCTTCCCAAAAGTCACAGAACCGCAAAACGAATCTGAAAACTAGCTACCAACAACCAAAAAATGCCTTAGTGTACTTTATTTCCAGTTGAAATGTATTTTCAAGATGAATCAATGAAAATAAAAATCCAGTGAAAATACGTCTTTCCTACATTTTACCTAAATCTCATCAAAAATCATTTTTAAAATGATGTTTTCAGCTGTTGTTGCTACACGGACACCCATTTATCAACATTAGAAAGAGCTGGCGAGCTTGTATGTGAAAATACAAAAATAACAAATCCGGTAAAACATGTACATTTGTTTTCTGTGCAGTCGATTGATATTTTATGAGCTAGAGCTCGGGAT